AAAGTGTGTTGACCAGTGTTATTCATAATAAAGGTGCTTTGTGTGAAATCGAGTCGATGTAAAGGTGTCCTGAGCCCACCTGCACCCGACACCGCCAATTAGTAAGGTTTGTCACGTAAATAAAACGTGCCAATTAGATACTTATCCCATTACACCGGCTGCGTGTTAGAGAGTAAACCCGCAACATCTACACGCGGAGTATCGTGACGTGTCGCTGGCGATTAATAAGCAAATCGCCTGGCGAGGTTGCTGGTTGCGGTTGTTGTGGTTGTTGTGGTTGTTGTTGTGGTGGTTGTTGTGGTGGTTGTTGTGGTGGTGGTTGTTGTGGTGGTTGAGGTGGTTGTGGGGGTTGTTGTGGTGGTTGTGGTGGTTGTTGTGGTGGTTGTTGTGGTGGTTGTGGTTGAGGTGGTTGTTGTGGTGATTGTTGTGGTGGTTGTGGTTGTTGTGGTTGAGGTGGTTGTTGTGGTGGTTGTGATTGTTGTGGTTGTGGTGGTTGTGGTTTTTGAGGTGGTTGTTGTGGTGGTTGTGGTGGTTGTTGTGGTTGTTGTGTTGGTTGTTGTGGTTGTTGTGTTGGTTGTTATTGTGGTGGTTATTGTGGTGGTTGTTGTGGTGGTTATTGTGGTGGTTGTTGTGGTGGTTGTTGTGGTGGTTGCTGTGGTGGTGGTGGTGGTGGTTGTTGTGGTTGTATTAATCGCCAGCGAAACGTCACAATACTCTAACTGTAAATGTTGTGGGTTTACTCTCCAACACGCAACCGGTGTGCTGCAGTAACTAACTGACCACGTTTTGTTTACGTGACAAACCTTATCAATTGTCCGTGTCGGGTGGTGGTGATGGTGGTGGGTTTAGCGGACTCATTCATATTTACGCGATCTCACCCCAAAAAAACTTTTTATTATGAAAACGCGTAACGCCGTGGGGTGTCCGGGACCCTGTCATCACGGGGCCTCGAATGTCACTCGCGGTTCGCTTGCCAGAAAGCAACAACCCTGTCCTCCGGCAAGTTGGGCCCCAGCCACGATCACGTCTTCTGCTGGAGACCGCTGCCTAATTCGGCTTCACTTTCACGTGGCAAGCAACTGCATTTGAAGCTTTCTAGATTTGAAGCTTTCGTGACTGCCAGGATTCGTACTCTTAGGTTTTTTCGGTAAAGTCACGTAGGTAAAAATAAATAAATAAAAATAATTGAAATAATTATAGAATTAATTATAGAATTAAAATAATAAAAGAATATTATTTGTATTTATTTTATTATGCATTTCACCTCCCCATTGTTTCTATGTTGCTGTCGTATTTACTAAAAAATCAATATACCGTAATCAGCCTACGACAGAATCGCCCGGATTGCGCCCGATCGGACATACTCTGTAAGCTCAGCTAAGTTGAGCCTACGCACTGCTTTGATGGGTGACCGCCACGCTTGAAACAGGTGCTATAGGCTGCCGCGGGCCTACATTGTCGTGCAGCAAATTTAATTGTAGTTTAACACGTAGTTCCTTAGCGACCAATATCATCCATAAGAGGTTTTTTGGGTTAGATCGCGTAAATATATAAATGTGTCGTTAAACCCGCCACCACCCGACAGAGCCAACTAGTAAGGTTTGTTGTGGCTTGGCTCTTCAACACACCGGTGTGCTGTACTAGTATACTACAGTATACACTACACTATACACTACACTATACACTGCACACTAGTGCTGTACTAGTGACGAATTGGCCACGTTCTGTTTACGTGACAACCCTTACTAGTTGGCCGTGTGTCGGGTGGTGGCGGGTTTAACGACACATTTATAATATTTACGCGATCGAACTCAAAAATTTACTTGCGTTACCGTATCAACATCTTTGCTGTCTGCTATCATCAAGCCACCCGAACCAGCATGGTGAAGTATGGTCAAATAATTCTAGATTTGAAGCTTTCGTGACTGCAATGATTCATATTCTTGGGTTTTTTCGGTAAAGTCACGTAGGTAAAAAATTAAAATAAAATTAAAAAATAAAATCACGACGTTTCGGAGGCAACACAAGCCTCCGTCTTCAGGTGAATACATTTACTTGATGCAGCGAGCGTGCTGTGACGGTTCCACCTGAAGACGGAGGCTTGTGTTGCCTCCGAAACGTCGTAATTTTTATTTTATTTGAATTTTTTACCTACGTGACTTTACCGAAAAAACTCAAGAATATGGTCAAATAACCGCCATCAACTGCACGGGATCAAGGAAAGCTCTTATCCAGCAGTGGATACACATCAGGACTGCACGTGAACATGCGGAATACAATTAAAACACAGAAACACTACTTTGGAGGTTTTCGCGGTTGTGCAGCTATGTAGTTCTCTGCCCTATTTTCGGGTGGTACTGCTCGTTGTCCGTTGTCTGACGTTTCGCTCCACATGCCTAAGGCAGATACCCGAAAACGCGTCGGAGAGCTAAGCGTTAGGGTCACGATTTAAACAAAACAAAAAGCCCACTTCACATTTTGGCCACCTCTCACCACTGACAATGTCCCCCTCGCGCCACGTTGCATCATTCCTTGACACGTGCTGGCAGTGTGGCTATGCAGTGCGCGTGGCTGCTGATGGGGTTTAGGGGGTGAAGCGGGGACGAAGGGATTTATCTCGCCCCAGCGCAGTATTTGGGTTTCTGGCACGGGGGCCGATAAGCGCGTTGAACTTTGTCCCGACTCAGTGGTGGCAGCAGTAGCTGACGGAGCGACTGTAACAGAGACGGGGTCAGAGAGCAAGTCCTTTGCGTTCCTTGAAATCCACGCCGCCATCTGAACTCCCTTCCAAAACTCTATCCGTGCACATTGCAGAAACAGATAACATCATCTTCTTGGTTCTTTCGGTAAAGTCACGTAGAAGGGAAATAATAAAACGATAAAAATGAAACGTACTAAAATACAATTCTCACGACGTTTTGGCCACAACGCAAGCAGCCGTCCTCAGGTGAAGAACAGGTCTGTCTTTACCGAAAGAACCAAGAAGATGAATCCCCGCAGTCACGAAAGCTTTTAATCGAAAAGCTAACATCATGTCTAACAATAGCAATTAAAACAATCCCCAGCGGCACAGCAGTTTTATAAAGGAGTCGATTCAAATCCCTTCAAGTCATTACAGTTTCAAACGGAGTATTTTGGGCCACGCGCTCCGGAAGTGGATGGCCGGCTTGTTTTTGTCCAAATTTGCCGACTCTGCGTAAAAACCCAGCGTCGAACAGTGGGGCCGGTTGCGTGCGTGTGGAACAGGAAAAGGGTGTTCGACAGTTTTGCTTGTGACTTCTAGACCAGAGGCATACACACACGTCTCTCTTGTGAGCTCCCGAACTCTCACAGCACCGCATTTAGGCCCTCCACTAAACAACCGCCCTTGTTTCTGTTTTGTGGAATTTTATACATTCCTGTTTTATCCCCAAGCGCCAGTAAACCACGATCCCCCCCTCCCCACCGTGATCCCATGTGACCCCGCGTGGCGAAGCTTTCCGTGTCTGAAGCCCTGAATGCGGCTGCAGACATCCTGAAAAAACGGTAGGACGCGTCGCAATCCCTAAGGCGCGATGTAATGGGTTTTATATTTACGAATTTTCTGCCAATTAGCGAGTGTTTATGCGTGCGGGAGGAAACCGGAACACCTGGAGGAAAACCCATACGTGCGAGGGTGCAACACTGTATCCCATTCCGATGAAACGGACGGAGATCAGTCCACGCTTTGACTGTGCCGCCTTCTTCTGGCAAGCCAGGGCCTGGCACCCTGGACTCGCGACGGGGAAGGGAGTCTCTCAAAATGTGCGCGGCAATCCCCCAACCCTCGCTGGCGTCCACAGCAGAGGTCGCAACCGGGTACCCGATACCCGTACCCTACCCGATACCCGGCTACCCGTGGCCGGGTACGGGTACGGGTACCCGTTTGCGACCCTGGTGCGGCCGGGTACGGTTACGGGTAGGCCGTGAGTCACCGGTGAGTAACCGTTTGTCACTCATTTCGGGTAGGGTACGGGTACGGGTAGGGAACGGGTACCCATACCCGGCCGGGTACGGGTACGGGTACCCGTTTGCGACCCTGGTGCGGCCGGGTTCGGGTAAGGAATCAAAACCCGTTTGCGACCTCTGGTCCGCAGTGCCGGATCAGGGGCCACGCGCGTATCTGCGGCACACGTAGCTGCCCAACGATGACGCTCACTCCGTCGTGTTTTTGTCGCAGCCGCTGGCGGCAAAGCTGCGGCTGCGCCCCCAGGATGTGGCCAAGTTCCCGGAGAACGCGTGGAAGCTCGTCTTCTACCTGGGCGCGTGGCTCTACAGCGGCTACCTGCTCTTCATGCGCGACTACAACTTCTTCGCACAGCCGCTGTCGGCGTTCACCGGTGAGCGCGGCCGCTCGCGCAACCGGCGCCGCGGCGGGGATTTGCGGCGATTCGGTGCCGCGACGGTAACTTTCGCGACGCCGGCGATCTTCGCGATTCACCCTGGGCCGGGATTCGGCAACCCAAATGACAAGAAGAGAACTTGTTTTCGAATCCGTCGGGGAAAAAAAACCACTAAACGGTTCAAGAGCCGCCAATGCGTGTAAATACGAGACGGAGGTGGTCCTCGATGAATGACGTCACGAAGCACCAGTCCTGAAAGAGCCACCGCATGCGGCTGGCTCCCGAGCCTCGGATTGCCACCGCTGACTCAGGCCGTCATCACCGCTCCGCCAGTCGACGAGAGCCACGACTGGTGGTCCACAATTTTAATCGCAACATTTAACTTTTTCCCTTTAGTCTCGTTTTCACCGCCTCGTTTAAACAAAACAAAAAATTGGCGAATTCCAGCTCTCAGAATGATACGTTCGAGTTTAATGGACGTGCAGCAAATGCTGCGAGGTGTATGTGTGCATGTTGAACTTCTTTAGCTGACTGTGTTAATCGAAGGTGCATAGCAAAGGAACGCATCTACGGTGTGAACAAAGATGCAGAATCAGAATATTTATTTTTCCAGGAGGAATCCGACGAGCTATGAAGCTCTTCTTTACCGATGGAAGCGACTTCACTCGGAGTTGGCCACCTTCCCGAGCCGTTCTCTCACACAAGGTGGTGCACTGCCCACCTGTGAGAGTTCGAGAATGGAATTCCTTCGTTCTCTTGACATGATGCCATGCGGGCAATTAGAATGCACACAGACAGCCCCTTTTTTTGTCAATCCACTGCTGGATGAGGGCATCCCCCCCCCCCCCACCACACGTGCAGGTCTTGAGGCTTGTCTCACCCATACTTCACCGCATCGACGTGTGTGGGGGAAGGGGGGGGGACATAGAAGTCAAGTACAACAAGCGATGTTGCTGTCCGCCACGTAAGCACAGTGCACAGCGAACAGCGTGGCATGCGGCTGGTCACCCATGGGTGAGTTTGTCTTTTGTTGTTGCGTGGGCTGCTGCTGTGCTCGCACACCACGGATGTCCCTCGCAGAATAGCCGGGCAACCGGCTAAACGAGACCGTCCGCCACGGTGGCTAGGAGACATTAACTACCTCGCCTGGTATGCACGAGGTTGTGGGTTCGATCTCGACCCTCACGCCTGCTGCTGTATATTTGGAGTCTGCGGTGTCTATCTTCTTGTGGTCGCGTGGATTTTTCTCCGGGTCCTCCGGTTTTCCCCTGACATTTAGAATCAACATCACGGCGTTTAGAGTATTTGGCTGCTATACATTTCCACGTGATAAACCACTAAGTTGAGCTATCATTTGTGGCCAGGTTGTTTTTGAAAAGGATCTATATAGCTCAGTGGGCCTTACCTGGTAAAAGGAAAATTAAACTTTTACATTTCATTTTAAAAGTTAAACAAGTCAAATATGAAGTCAAACAACTCGTCCACGCACCATCTCCAGGCTCAAACCTGCTTAGCTTCCGCGATATGACAGGATCGGGTGCATACCGGGTGATTTGGTCACAGTGTAACGATGTGGTGGTAATTCGGAGTGTGGTTTACACCCTCGGACTCCTACCTGCCTGTGCACGTCCACAGCCATAGTTGACATTTTTTACCAGTCAAGCGTCCCGCGATGGACAGTGTGCATTTCATTTTCAGAGGATTTGATGCCGCTTGGCTGTCAGTTATGGTGACAGTTTTACAAGTTACAAAAATCGGCTCGTGGTGTTTTTCAAAAATGTAACGTTTAGCGTTAAAAAAGAATAATGATAGCTGACCAGATGGAGTGTGGGGGGGTGCATTGTGGGTGATTTGCTAATGGGGACCCAGAATCAGAATTTTTATTCATTCTGGAGAAATCCGATGAGCTATGGAGCTCAATCGGAATATATGACTGGGGGAGGGAGGGAGGGAGGAAAAAACAAAGTGACATACGGCGAGGTGATTGTGCCGCCGCGCTGCGATCGTCGAAGTGGCGGCCGCGGATTTGCGACTCGTGTCGGCCGTGTCCAAAGTCTCACCGGCGGTGGCTGCGGTGGGGACGCGATGGACTCCTCAGGGACGTTTCGCTAAGATAGCGCCAAGTCGATATCTCGCACGCGACGCACCCGATAAAACCGCTAATGGGCACCCGCCAAAGGTGATTAGCAGTAGCCTTGATAGAGTCTCTCCGTAGTTACGAAAACCTGCTGTGGTCACCTGAATTAATGTGGTTCCGAGCAGGGCGGTAACAAAGTATAATATGTATACATTGTGTCTTCATGTAGCAAGTATCTAAATGCAACTGCACCTCAAGCAGCTGTGTGAAAACAGTGTGGGTGTATTTATTTGATAGAGCGAGGTGTTTAGTCATTGATCTATATGTAAGTCTGTGGGTCTCTGTGAGGGCGCCACGGTGGTGAGATGTTAACTACCTCGCCGGGTATACAGGAGGTCGTTGGTTCGATCCCGACCCTGACGCCTTCTGCATATTTGGAGTTTGCATGTTCTGTCCCGGGTCCCTCCACATTTAGAGATATGCGTTTCGACCAATTGGCTGCAAAAAATGTCCACGGCGATAAGCCACTTCGTTGAGCTATCATTTGTGGCCAGGGCGCTTCTGAAAAAAAGCTGCATAGCTCAGTGGGCCTTACCTGGTAAAATGAAAAAGTTGACTTTGGTTATTAGGGTCTATTGGTATCTAGATGAGCACATGGTCAGTCATAGGTTTATATGTCATCTGTCAATCTCTAAGCGAGTCTGTGAGTGCGAGTCAACACAATGTGGACTTAAATAGTCTCCCAAATGCAACCGCAGGTCAAGACGCTGCACGATACAGTGGGCAGGTTTATTTTTAGACAGAAATAGGCGGTCATCAGAGGTGGACCTGAGGTTGTGACTCGTTTTTGTTATTCATTTTTTTATTTCTGAAAAAAAACAGCCTTCAATACTTTTGAACATCGGCCGTTTATAATATCACCATTTAATGAGGGGACGCTGAATGTCGTAAGCGGTCCAGAGTTCACTTGTGTTGAGCTAATGCTGCTGAAATGATGTAAGCCCAGAAGGTCGTGTGGATGATGGGATGTTTACGAAAACACATCTCCACATATATAATTATATAAAATGCAAAGTTGTGATTATGTGTCTGTTCAAAATGTTTAGCGTACTTCCCGACATGCAACAAACTTGAAATTTGCCATGTGGGTACTTTCCAGACTGCACACCATGCAACAATTATAAAAATACACTTTGTTTTTTTTTTGGGGGGGGGGAGCTCAATAATGCAGATATTTTTTACACAAGTGAGCTTTGACGTCGTATTTGTCACGTGACCCGCGCGTGAGGAAGCGTCACGCATTGTAGTGTAGTGGTTAGCACGCCACGCTACGAACCCGGCGACCCGAGTTCGATTCCCGCTCACGGCCACCATCGTTGACAATTATTTCAACTGGTCCTGGGCCTCCCCTAGGTCGACTCAGCCTCAAACGAGTAACTGGTGTGGTGTGTGAACATCGCCACTGGGGAGACAAAGGCGGCCGGGCATGGTGCTGGCCACCCACCCCCTCGTTAGTTATATATGTGGAGGGACAGATATGGGAAGGTGTATTGTCTGCTGATTTATTTTGCAACTCATATTTTGTGGTGTGTATTTATGAGGTTGGTCAATTTATTTAGTCTCATTCATTCAAAATCATCGTGTTCTAGAAGAAAAAATCTCCTTCATAAAAGAATCATGTTTAATTTTATATTCCATTGTTCATCGAGCAACTCGCATCTCACAATCACTGAGGAATCGCAGACGAGCTGCACGGACAGCCAGGCGATTAGCTCGGTGCCTACAATTGCCAAAGGTCTGCAGTCCTCTACATGTATAAACACTTTGTTAATTCCGTTAATTAACGAGTGTTCATACATGCGGGAGGAGACCGGAGAACCCGGAGAAGACGCACGCGTGCGTGGGGGCAACGTTTTATTCCGCACGGAAGGGACAGATGTCTGCACTTTGCTGTACCGCATTCTCACGGCGAGCCACGGCACGACAACCCCTCGACGCCCACAAGAAGCAGTTTCACAAGATTATCGTGATCCACCGACCCTCGCTGCTGCCTCCGCTGTGCCGGACTACAGGCCATGTGACATGGCCATTCAGTATTCTACAATTATTTTTTTAATATAACTCATTCTCATCTCGCCAAACAATTCGACGAAAGCACACATAGCATGTGCGTTACGAGCGTAGGAATCGGCTTTAACCCGGTGGCTCGTTCCCTGGCGCAGGCTGGTACGTGGGCATGGAGGTGCCCAGCGACATCCACCTCGCCTACATGCTCCAGGGCAGCTTCTACCTCCACTCGGTGTACGGGACACTGTGCCTGGACACGTGGCGCCGCGACTCGCCCGTCATGATCCTCCACCACATCATCACCCTGTCGCTCATCGGCTTCTCCTACGCCCTCAGGTCAGTCGATCGGTGGCTAGGAGATGTTTACTACCTCGCCTGGTTTGCAGGAGGTCGTGAATTCGATCCCGACCCTGACGACGCCTGTATATTTGGAGTATGCGTGCTCTCCCAGTGGTCGCGTCGATTTATCTCCGGGTCCTCTTGATTTTTCCATTTAGATTATTTGGCTGCTATAAATTGCCACGCGATAAGCCACTTATTTGAGCTACCATTTGTGACCAGATCGCTTCTGATAAAAAGAGCAATATATATAGCTCAGTGGTCTTTACCTGGTAAAATAAAAAGTTTTTTTTTATAGTTTTCAGTCGGTCGGTAGCACTGACCCCACCCCGTACTTCTGTCCTCATCCGTCCACCCGTCCCATGGCTGGTCATGGGAGTGCCTGCGAACACAGCCGCCCGCCTGTGACCAAACCACCCACAAAAGAAACTAAACAATAGTTTAGTTTCTTTTGTGTTTAGTTTGTTGTCCTTCCCCCGCACCACCGGTTAGCGCGGTTGGCGACGCACGGTGCGAAAGAAGTTCAACGCGCATATGTGCAGAGCTTCAGAAGCTAAGCGGGATTGAGCCTGGATTGTGCTTGGATGGGCTGACTGCCGCGGTGCATAAAACAGGTGTCATAGGCTGCTGCGGGGCTACGTTGTGGGCAGCAGAGAGGCAGCGAAGCAAAGTGTCTTCTTGTTGTTCTGTGCTTGAGTGCTTCCACGTCTATGCTCGGCAACCGACCGGCGTGGTGAGATCTTGTAAAGATAGCCCGCACGACCCGCACGCCCTGACGATTTTCCTCCATCCAGCAGTGGTTTTTACAAAGGGGCTCCGTTGTCAACTGGAGATGTGCTCCTGTTTTTTAGATCAATCCAAAATTATCCGAAAATGGAGCGAAGTCTCGGAATATCTGGAAAAAAATGTGTTCCAACTGATTTAAAATCGTGATGTCATCGGAACTGATAGAACTGGGTGACATCACGTCCGTACATATCCTGCATAGGTGGATAGATGATTTAAAGTATTTGCGTAAAAATTCTCATCAACTGATTGTGTTTCTGTTGGAATGTTACGTAAATGTATACGAGTCCACAATTTAACATGCAAAACTATTTAAATCGTAACATTTGCTGCCATGAGCATGATGTAAATATAATCGTCATTCGTACAAGTACGGAAAATACAAATGGATATCTAAAATTGTCCCAAAAAATTCGAAATTCCAACAAATGAAAAATCATTGTTTAAAAATCTCATGCCCGGTGTACACATGTATGTGTATTCTAGGAACAGGTTTCAGATTACTTGTACAGTCCATACTGAACACAGTGTATCTGAACCGGTCAGGTGGCTCGGTTGCATCTTTGTCTCTGTGTTTCTGCGTGCTCGCAGGATGTGAAGCTGCGCGTCCGTGCGTGCGTGCGCGTGCGTCCATGCGTGCGTCCATGCGTGCGTCCGCGTGCGTCCGCGTGCGTCCGTGCGTGCATTCGCTTGCGTGCATTTGCTTGAATGTGACTTATCCGTGCACGCTCCGCTGCTGGCACCCCCGCAGGTTCCACAACATCGGGCTGCTGGTGCTCTTCCTGCACGACACGAGCGACTTCCTGCTCGAGTTCACCAAGGTCAACGTCTACCTGCGGCACCGCGGCGGGGGCAGCGAACGCGAGCGCTGGGTCCACGCTCGCATCGCCGACCTCGGCTGCGCCGCCTTCGGCTCCAGCTGGTGAGGAGCCCTCGGCCGCCACTGGGGGGGGGGGTGGGGGCTGTCGAGTACGCAGGCGGTGCAACCGCACCGAGGCCCGTGGGCCGGAGGTGGGGGGCGGCCCGGGCGCGGACCTACAAACGGTGGGGGAATTAGGACATGGTTCCCCCACCACCCCACCGTGCCGGGGGTTTAGTTGTCGAGTACGCAGGCGGTGCAACTGCACCGAGGCCCGTGAGCCGGAGGGAGGGGGTCCGGGCGCTGGGATACCAAAAGAAGGGAGACGTTGGACAGGTGAGAGGGCCCTCGGCTTCATTATTTTCACCGTGGGGGTCGTGGCAACCGTGCCAAGGCCCACTGGGTGTGAGGGACGGGTTTCGGTCACTTGCCCGCGGCTTTTACTCACTTGGCTGACTTTTCCACGTCGTTGACACGTGCGACAGTGCAATTATACGGTGGACATTATCTGATGCTATTTGATGCGATTTGATGCGAGCCCCCTGGGGATGGAACCTGTTACACGTGTTTGTATCCATTTGTCAATGGCCCACTGATTCCGGTTGACCTTATTGCAAAAGCAATTGCTCCATACCCAGGAGAGAAGCGCTGTTAAAAAGGATTTAATTTATAGGAGAGGCTTTGCAATACAATGTTGTTTTCTCGAATTTGCTACGCTATTATTTTAGTGGGTTTATCCATAAATGGACCACGTGTGTTATGATGTCGCACGGGGTACATATATATATTACAGCCATTTTGTCAATCTACTGCTGGATGAGTGCTTCCCCACCCCCTGTGATGTTATTTACGTACCTCACCGCATTGGGCAGTGCCAGGTTGGTGAAGGCATGGGTCAAAGGAGTGGAAGCACGGAAGTGCATCACAACAACGCACAAACAATACCATATGTATAACGTAAATGTAACGCACGTGTGTGTGTTGAACTTGTTTCGCACCGCACGTAGCCAACCGGAGGTTCGGTAAAGCGGCGCGCTGGTGCGCCCTTACAAGGAAGCGGACACAGCAGGTGACATTTCGGTCAACGACCCGTCTTAATGGCACGCGTAGACGGGAGACAAAGGCTGTGTCTTTGGCCTCACTCACAGACGGTTGGGCTTGTGTGTATATATATATACGTGCAGCGAACGTCTGCTCTGAAGCAGGTCCATCGCCCGAAACGCCAGCCATAGCCATCATATATATTTTGCAGGCAGTGTCACTGACGGCCGTCGTCGTCGTCGGAGCACTGTGCCGCTGCCGGAGAGGGGCCTCTGTTCCCGACAGGGGGTGTCTGTCGCTGTGGTGGTGGCGGTGGGGTTCAGTTTAACACCGAGTAGGAGGCTTTCACGATGCAGTATCATCCATAATACAGGTTTGATTTTTTTTGTTGGGTTAGATCGCGTGAATATATGAATGTGTCGTTAAAGCCGCCACCACCCGACACAGCCAACTAGTAAGGGTTGTCACGTAAAGGGAATGTGCCAAGTCGTTACTCGTACAGCACTAACCGCTTGTGCGTTGGAGAGATGGTACATGTTGTGGATTTGCTATCCAATTTTACGCGATCTAACCCAAAATAAAACCTCTATTAAGGGGGGGGGGGCGGGGTCACTGATGAGCCACATTCCAAGGGATCATCGCTGGGCCCCGAGCTCCTTGAGGCAACGCCGTCCGAGCGCTTGTGTGCGATGAGTGACGGCATTTCAAATATTTGCGTACGGGGGAGTGGTGGCGCCGTGGTTTGCTCCACTGCGTTACAGTCCGAGCCGCCCCCCCCCCCGGCTCCGTTCGCGCTGCAGGCATTCTGTCACGTGGACCTGCTGTGAGCCACCTTCTTGGTAAACTAAAATGACCGACGGTGCACTGTGCGCCCCTTCCCACGTGTTCAAAACGTGAACCTTTTTTTCCCCCCCACCATAACATCCCATCGAAGGCCACGCGGCCTTCTGGGAGTGGATTTCTTGCCGGCATAATTAGTTCTGACGCAAGTAACCTTTGGAGCGGTTTCAACATTTAATTCTCTCACTCAACAGTCGGGATGCGCTTAAACGAATTTTTTGCCAAAACTGCCGGATGTTTATGGTCAGGCAGCGACCCTCTGCGTCGGATTATGGATCGACGCGTTACTAGAACAAAACACGCGACCGTAAACTAACCGCGGATCGCCATCGTCAAGAACGTGGGCAGCAAAATAAACGAACAGAGCACGACACAACAACGGCCCCGACATATTTGCCTCTCCACCCAGTTTCAACATCCGCACGTGGGGACACGGAAGGTGTGGTGCTGGCCACCCACCCACCCATCCACCCACCGTTGTGTGCCGTGCCGGTCTTAAACAGGCATTCGTACAACACGTACTTATTCCCCAACTGCCCGCGGGGCTGAACACACAACCTTTGTCTTGTTTGCGTGCGTGAGCGCTTACGACGCTGCACGTGTGTGGGGATGCCTGCGTGTCAGGACAGTGAGAGCGCTTACCATCGTCCTCTTTGAGTAGTAAAGGGCCGCATTCCCCAATTGTTAGGTCACGATACAGTTCCGTGACTGGGTGCATCTGGTGGCGGAGGCCCCCGTGGAATGGTGTCGATCATCTCGGCAGAATCGTGGGCAGGTCGTTGGCGTGGCCTCACCCACAAATCAATTATTAATGATTATATTGGCTCTGCAAACTTACTCGGCGTTAAGCTCACGATATAGTTCCATGTTATATGGTAGCGTTATTGACGGCTGTGCCGAGTGCAACTTTCATTGTGCGTGTAAACATGTTTGTACGGATATCACGTGTGTATAGATGGCTTTGCATGTGCGTATGTGTGTATGTCAGTCTATACTCGTGAGGTTGAGAATTAAAATCCTGGTTAGGTTGGTTAAGTAAAAAAAAATTCCAGGAAGCTACACGGAGTTATAGGAAGTTCACGCTGCATTGGGTTTTCATCTTAAGATGTTTTCAAATAATGAATGACGATTATTATCTCTTACGTTTTTATCGGGCACAGCGGACCCAACCAAGGGCTTCATAGGAAATCCGGAGCACCCGGAGAAAACCCCCACGCCTTGTGCGAGGGGGCAGCGCTCGATCCCCAACCGCACAGATGGCGGTTAGTTCACTTGCTCGCAGCACCTTCGCCTGGCGAGCCAGCGTAAGGCGACGTCCGCCGTAAGGGAGCTTCACAACCCATCTGTGCGGTGATCCGCCAACCCTCGCTGCTGCCTCCATGGTGCTGGATTACAGGGGGCAGCAGTAGCAGCAGTAGCAGCAGCAGTAGCAGCAGTAGCAGCAGCAGTAGCAGCAGTAGCAGTAGTAGCAGTAGCAGCAGCAGCAGTAGTAGCAGCAGTAGCAGCAGCAGTAGTAGCAGTAGCAGCAGTAGTAGCAGCAGCAGCAGCAGTAGTAGCAGCAGTAGCAGCAGCAGTAGCAGCAGTAGCAGCAGCAGTAGCAGCAGCAGCAGTAGTAGTAGTAGCAGCAGCAGTAGTAGTAGTAGCAGCAGCAGCAGTAGCAGCAGCAGTAGTAGCAGTAGTAGTAGCAGCAGCCGTAGCAGCAGCAGTAGCAGCATAGTAACGTGGAATTTCCGCCACTGACTCAGGGCTGTAAATGAGAGCTGAGCATCGCTTTGTTGTTCATTTGAGCAGGAAACCGCTTAGAAAATATTTATAGATATGAACTTATGTATGTAAGTGCTTGCATACAATTAAGGAAATTCACTCGCCCCCTTTGTCATTATATTCTTGGTTTTTTTCGGTAAAGTCACGTAGAAGGGAAACAATAAAAAAAATTATTGTTTCCCTTCTACGTGACTTTACCGAAAGAACCAAGAATATGAATCCCTGCAGTCACGAAAGCTTTAAATCCAAACCTTAATCATTGTTTTGCATCGCATATTCGGGGCGGAGCGGTGGGGCAGTGGTCGCTGCGCTCCGAGCCCGACGACCCGAGTTCGATTGTCGGCTCCGGCCGACATGGGTGGCGAGCGACATCCGAACCGGCCGTGGGCCCGTCTCTTGCCCAACCCACCAGTGAATTGACAGAGGGCCTGTATATACTCTTAGTTCTTTCAGTAAAGTCACGTAGGTAAAAAATGAAATTAAAATTAATAAAAATAAAATAATAAAATTACGACGTTTCGGAGGCAACACAAGTCTCCGTCATCAGGTGGGACCGTCACAGCTATGATTTGCTGCATCATGTGCATCAAGTGCAGCAAATCTGGCTGTGACGGTCCCACCTGATGACGGAGACTTGTGTTGCCTCCGAAACGTCGTGATTTTATTATTTTATTTTTAGTAATTTTTATTTCATTTTTTACCTACGTGACTTTACCGAAAGAACTAAGAGTATGAATCCTTGCAGTCACGAAAGCTTCAAATCTAGAAGAGGGCCTGTACTCTGTTACGTAAGGAAACTAATACATATGCTAGGTTAACATTTCAGGGAATGGACTTCATAGCGGAAAGACAGCAGATATATATTTATATATGTTAACTTTTAGATGTGATAAGCTCTCCGACCCTTGTACACCACTTGTACACCACTGCCAGCACGGCTTCTTAGAAGTTTTTTTTTATGATTCGCATGCGTACGTGTGTGCGCGCGTGTGTGTGCGCATGCCTACGTGTGCACGTGTGGGGAGAGGATAGTGCAACGGTCAGCGCGTTGCTCGCTGAACCCGGTGACCCGAGTTTAATTCCCGCTCACGGCCAACACCAGTGACGATTATCTGAACCGGTCCTGGGCTTCCGCTAGGTCGACTCAGCCACAAATGAGTACCTGGTGAGGTGTGTAGTAAACATCGCAACTCGGAAGACAAAGGCGGCCGGGCTTGGCGCTGGCCACCCACCCCCTGGTGTGCCGCGCCGATCTTCATAGGTGCTCGCTAACAGCACTTGCCCCAACAGTCTGTTAAGGCTATACTGGGGATCTTTGTCTTTGTGTGGGTTAGCGCGCTGCGTGAGGGACCCAGCGGAGACCCGAGTTCAATTTCCGCTCGCAGCCAACATCGAGTGGGGATTTGGCTGATCCAGTCCTGAGACTCCCATAGATCGACTCAGCCTTAAATGAGTACTTGGAGTGGTGTGTATGAGACATCAGCAGGAGGGAGACAAAGGCGGCCACCATCACTCCCTCGTGTGCCGTGCCGGCCATCGTGGGTGATCGCCAACAGCACTTGCCCAAGTAATCTGTTAAAGGCTATATGGGGGATCTTTGTCTTCGAGTGTATGTGTAATGATTAGGCAAGTAAACATTCACATACTCATTGATTATTAATCTAAAGAGAAAAATGCATTGTACGTTGCCAGTGAGAACTAATTCTTCTTTACGATTTGTCCAGATCATTACCGAGTAGAGCGGAGCGCTGTCGCAGTGACTAGCGCTACGGACCCGGCTACCTGAGTTGGATTCCCAGCCACGGCGAGAGATTTCTCAACCAATGTTGGCCACCACCACCACCACCACCGCTCTTGATTAAACCTGCACTGACCAGCGTAGTGTGAAGTATGGTTAAACAACCCCCGATAACTCTGGGAAAGCCCTTTTGAAGTAACTGAATAATGTGTGTATGTTGAACTTTTTTCGCACCGCACGTAGACAATCTTGCTAATCAGATGTGCAGGGAAGGACACTCAATGAACTACAATAAACGATCATGGGACCTCCTTTGGCAATACCAAAATATGAGGATAGGTTTTCCCCTTTTTTTCTGGCAACAAAACAGGTGTGTGGACCAATCAGTTTCAAAGACAATGCATACATTATCAGAGTATGTTTTTTGTTTGCATTCTGACCACAAGTATTGTGGTTAATGCAGACATGATTCCTTGTAAAAAGTTTCAGTTTGGTGTTTTAACATCTTAACACCGGTTTTGTTACCAGAACAAAGGGGAAAACCTACAACCAACGAGTTCTAAAGAAATGAGTTTCCAATCTCGATGATGATTTACAAGTGCAGAGCTCCAGTCGCTTCCTAATTTTGGGAGGAAGAGCGTTCCAGACGGCCACGGAAGCGCGTCTGAAAGAGGGCGATGCAGTGACCACCGTCTTTAATGTAATGGGTGTAAGTGGTCGTCATCAGAGGCAGACTGTTTTAAAGGTTTTGGTTAAACCTTCAAAACCTTTTAAACCGTCTGCCTCAGCAGCTTTCCTCTCTTTTTTTCCTCCTGATGACGACCGCTTGCGTTGCGATCGAAACGTCGTAGTTTTTTTAGTTTTTTTTGTTATTTTCTTTTAACCTATCTACGTGACTTTACCGAAAGACCCAAACAATATGAATTCCTGCAGTCACGAAAGCTTTAAGCCAAGGGTGTAAAAAATGTTTGCGCATGTATACAGTCAAGTAGTGCGCGGGTGTTATATGTCGTCACGTGGAGTGAACCAAACTGTGTCCAAATGAGAAGAAAATAAAAACAAACAAATGTGCAATAAAAGGAGGGCAGCGGTGTTTGGAAAGACCATGCAGGACGCTTGGATTATGTGACGCGTTGCAAGACGCGCATTACACTGTGTGACAAAAAAACATTTCGTTCCTGGGTAGTAAGTGTTATTTCCTAATTGCTTATGCCTCAAAAGTACAGAAAATGGCTGTTATTCCCCACAAACTTTGCTTTTGTGACCAGGACAGTGATATTTTGAAATGTACCTATTTTCAATGTGAAAACGTGGTGTGCATTTGTGTATTTTCGTTCGCCGTACAGTCAGAAAAAAAACACATGAATCAAAATTATATGAATATATACTAAAGTTATACAAAAATTACTACTTTCTGTTCGACAGATCGTGTCCGTGCTGTTTCACTGTGATGTTCTTGCTGGTTTGTGTTGTGTTCACCTGTGTACCCTGTATTGTGTCCATGCTGTGTGTCTCTGTGGTGTTCTTGCTGGTTTGTGTTGTGTTCACCTGTGTACCCTGTGTTGTGTCCATGCTGTGTGTCTCTGTGGTGTTCTTGCTGATTCGTGTTGTGTTAACAACCTGTGTACCCTGTATTGTGTCCATGCTGTGTGTCTCTGTGGTGTTCTTGCTGGATCGTCTTGTGTTAACCTGCATACCCTGTATTGTGTCCATGCTGTGTGTCACTGTGGTGTTCTTGCTGGATCGTGTTGTGTTCACCTGTGTACCCTGTATTGTGTCCATGCTGTGTGTCTCTGTGGTGTTCTTGCTGGATCGTCTTGTGTTAACCTGCATACCCTGTATTGTGTCCATGCTGTGTGTCACTGTGGTGTTCTTGCTGGATCGTGTTGTGTTCACCTGTGTACCCTGTATTGTGTCCATGCTGTGTGTCTCTGTGGTGTTCTTGCTGGATCGTCTTGTGTTAACCTGCATACCCTGTATTGTGTCCATGCTGTGTGTCACTGTGGTGTTCTTGCTGGATCGTGTTGTGTTAACCTGCATACCCTGTATTGTGTCCATGCTGTGTGTCTCTGTGGTGTTCTTGCTGATTCGTGTTGTATTCACCTGTGTACCCTGTGTTGTGTCCATGCTGTGTGTCACTGTGGTGTTCTTGCTGGATCGTGTTGTATTCACCTGTGTACCCTGTATTGTGTCCATGCTGTGTGTCACTGTGGTGCTCTTGCTGGTTTGTGTTGTGTTCACCTGCTTGCCCCTGATCGTGTCCATGCTGTGTGTCTCTGTGGTGTTCTTGCTGGTTCGTGTTGTGTTCACCTGTGTACCTGTATTGTGTCCATGCTGTGTGTCTCTGTGGTGTTCTTGCTGGTTCGTGTTGTGTTCACCTGCTTGCCCCTGATCGTGTCCATGCTGTGTGTCTCTGTGGTGTTCTTGCTGGTTCGTGTTGTGTTCACCTGTGTACCCTGTATTGTGTCCATGCTGTGTGTCTCTGTGGTGTTCTTGCTGGTTCGTGTTGTGCTCACCTGTGTACCCTGATCGTGTCCATGCTTTGTGTCTCTGTGGTGTTCTTGCTGGTTCGTGTTGTGTTCACCTGCTTGCCCCTGTATTGTGTCCATGCTGTGTGTCTCTGTGGTGTTGTCATGCCATTTTTTACGCCAGTGTGGTTCTCGCCGTGCAGCATTTCGCGATGCAATTTGCACAAACGACGCTCCGCAATTATTATAATTGCTGTTATTGATATTTACGAGACAAAACGCTTCGCTTTGTTACGTTTTACTTATTCACGTGGGGCCCTATTTAACAACAAAAAAACCTGACATTTATCGACCGCCCCTCACCGTGGTAAGTTTCTCGATGCGACTCCGGGTTTGGCGGAGTGGCCGCACGTTTCCTCTGCCCACCGTCTGCTCCCCCCCCCCCCCCCCACTCTGCCCCCCCACCCCGGTGGTGCCGTGGCCACGCAGGTTCGTGTGCCGCCTCTACTGGTTCCCGCTCAAGGTGGTGCACACCACCGCCGTCACGGTGCTCACCGTCATCCCGAACATGCCCTTCTACTTCTTGTTCAACACCCTGCTCATCATACTCACCGGCATGAACGTCTACTGGTTCTCGGTCAGTCGGAGCCCCCCCCCCCCTGACATCCCCCTCCAGCCCGCTCCACCCCCCCCCCCCCAGGTTCTTGTCAAATAAAAAAAACTCGCCCCATTATTCAACTGTCGAGCACGGGAGATTGAGTCGAACCGGCGACCCTCGGTATTCTAATTGCAGTCCGCTAGTCACGTATCTACGTGTGTGTAAAACTTCTTTCGCGGCGTACATAGACAACCGCGCTGATCGGAGTTGCGGGGCAAGGACAGCAAACTAAACACTCAAAGCAGTGCTGAAGAAATGAGTTTTCAATCTAGATGACGACGATTTATAAGTGCATATCGGAAGCAAGACCATTCCAGACGGCCGCAGAAGGGCATCTGAGAGCGGCGCGATGCAGTGACCACCGTCTTGTTTACCTCGCTGCGCTATGGACCCGGCCGACCTCAGTTTGATTATCTGAGCCGATCCTGGGCCCTTCCCTAGGTCAACTCGGCCTCAAATACGTACCCGGTGCGGTGTGTGTATGTATGTTGAACTGCTGTCGCACCGTACGCAGCCCCAACCGTGCTAACCGGAATGTAAACATCGCCACTGGGGAGACAGAGGCGGCCGAGCGTGTGCAACCCTGGGGGTAACACGCAGAGCGTTGCACGGATGGATTCAATAATCCATTGCTGTACTGCCACCTGCTGGCCACCTCACAGCCCCAGCCTATCACGTCCCGCCACTAGCCAGGTTCAAGACCTGAGTTCTGACGAAATCGGGCATATTCAAGGTGGTGTGTCCAGAGCGTTTATGCAAGAACACGCTGCACACTTTGTACCTCATTAATATTGTATGCACAATAAGCTGTTGCAACGGCAACACTGATAGACGATAGATATTATTTTTTAAGTTGCATAATTGACAGGAACAGTCGGTCCAGTAGATAGCGTGATAACTATTGCGTGTGTGTGTGTGTGGGTAATGATACAAATGTACGGTTGACCTTTCTTGTCTAATACATGCTTGTGTAGACTCCACGCAGCCGACATCGGAACATCTAATCAGAGGCCGTAATAGCTGCCGGTTTTAACCGTTTGGACTCTCAAATGTGGAAAGAGAAAGAAAAAACCTCAATTATTTTACCCGTACAGACGTCGCACAGCCGCAGATAGGCAAAGCGCTGGGAAAAAAAAACCGAATAAACCCAACGAGGTTACGGACTCGCTGTGAATTCTCAGAATGCGGTGTTTCGTTGCCTTCTGGAAATGCAGCATTAATCTGTAAGCTTATCAGGTAAATACAAAGGGCACACGTGGCAAAGAAAATTGCCTGTCAGTTAGCCGCAAAGTTGGCGGGGGCAACAGCAATCTAAGAACTCCGACCTGCCCAAGCCCATAAACACGTGGCAGAGGTGTCGTTTTATTGTCTGATCTGTTCCCTGTTACCGGCGCCCTCACCCCTGCCCCCTCGCCCCGTAGTTCATCGTGGCCTTCGTGGCGAAGGTGCTGACGGGGCAGATGAAGGAAGTGGACGATCTGCGCGAGTTCGACGTGAATGAGCGAGTGAGCACGGGCCCGGAGGGGGAGGCAATGACGCAGGGGGAGCGCCGGTCTCACGCGAAACGCGGCAAAGGAAAAGGGTGAGTGAGCGAGGCCGCTTCGCCGCAGTTTCCATCCGAATCCATCTTTCGCTCCTCTGCACCTCTCGCGTGGCTCTTCCCAGTTTTTTCCTTCCGTCAATCGAGTGAAAATCGGTTGAGCACATGGGTAGGATGGTGTGCCTTTCCGGGCCCTTCCCCCCTCAACCATTATATATACGGAGTGGTAGCTCTTGTAATCTCTCATTTACTTGATACAGCTGTCCTGGCTGTGACGGTTCCACCTGAAGACGGAAGCTTGTGTTGCCTCCGAAACGTCGTGAATTTTTATTTTTTTATTTTTTTATTTTACTTTTATTAATTTTAATTTCAATTTTTTTACCTACGTGACTTTACCGAAAAAACCTAAGAATATGAACCGCACCTCTGTTTAAAAGTTGATCGCACTGAAGACCGCAGGCCGCACGTCCACCCATCGCCGTTTGTCATTTGTTTCTCACTCGCAACACCGGTTCCGCAGCTGTCAACTCAAGAGGGAAATGTTGAGCAAAGATTGCAAAGTGTGTGACCACAGCGGCTTCGTGAACTCGCCGTTGCGCAATGTAGAATAGACCAAATACCAAATGTGCACGCTTATTTTTTTAGTCAATGGGCTTTTTACTCCCCTCCTCCATCCCGGATTTTTCCACTCGCACTATCACGGCTGTGCCATCAGAACAATCCAGAAGTGGAGGCGCATTTTATTTATTTGGACAACGGCACTGAAACCGCGCACCAGTTTTTGTAATTGTCATGATTTAGAATGTTTATTTATTTATACTGGTAGGAACCTCCTGGTTCCACCAGCCCATAGGGGATTATTGTTTCTGTCCGTCCATCGTGCAGGGAGGGGCTGGGTGGGAGAGGGTGGGGAGGGGCTGGGTGGGGGAGGGTGGGGAGGGGCTGGGTGGGGAGGGTGGGACTGGGTGGGGGATGGGAAGGGTGGGGCTGGGTGGGGAGGGGCTGGTCACCCCGTGGTGCCCTTATAAAACTCAACGTTTAACCTACTCATGCCGGCTTGTGCCCGCCCTCAAATCACGATCATCCCGGATCTCTTCACCACCTGGACTAATGCCTCCCCAAGCCAATGCCATCCGTCGTGGTCCTGCGATATATAGCGGCGAGCGATTGAGCATCGGCACGCGAGCGGTTTTAACCGCTCCGTCTCCGTGGTGGACGTCGCCTCGGGGCGTCCGTCCTCCCCGCTTTAGCTGCCACCCTGTCGTCAGTCTCGCTCGCCGGCCGTCGATCGTCCGCTCCAGCGACAACGTGTCCTGCCCCAGCCCACGTTGTTTCCTCATTGGCCAACGCGACGTCTGTAACGTGCATTTGGCTGGCCATCGAACAAAGGCGGTGGTCACCGCATGGCGTGCTTTTCAGATGCGCTCCTGTGGCCGTCTGGAACGCTCTTCCTTCCGATATTAGGAAGCCACTGGAGCTATGCATTTTTAAATCGTCTAGATTGGGAACTCATTTCTTTCTAACTGATTTTTGTGTTTAGTTTGTTGTTTTCCCCCTCCGCACCTCCTATTAGCACGCTTGGCTACATATGGTGCGAAAAAAGTTCTACGTAAAAAGTTCTCTAATCCACGTGACCATCTTTCTGTTTTCTCGCTGTAACCGCAAGCGGACACTTTGTCAATGCCCAGTATTTGCAATTCATACGTCATAGCAGGTAATATACACCGATTAAACACTCTTCTTAAGGGATAATGGTATGTTGACTTTGCACCGTCCTGTTCAGCTTTCCAAAATCTATATATGCTCTCGTACGGCTCTTTTAAGTCATAATTTTTTTAATCGGTCCACCTTCAATAACCTCCCGAAGCACGCACACGCACATACACACACACACACGCACATACACACACACCGCTCTGCTGTGGCCTCCACTCGCGTCCCCTCCGACAGATTCCCTCGTTGGCTTGGCGAACTTTGTGGAGCACGCGCGTGCCACCTCCGTTGTTGTTGTTGTGTACGTCTCGTGCGGATTTATCGGTGTGTTCGGCAAAGCTCGCGCCGAAATCACAAACCTCATCGGCGCTTTCTCCCCCTTCCCCGTCGCGTGCAGCGAGGCTCAGGAGAACGGCCTGCAAAGCGGCGGTGGCAAGAAGCAGCAGTGAGTGCGAAGCGCACGCTGCTCGGAGGCGCCCCTGCGACTTCTCCCTCTGCGCGTCTCCGACAAAACCATGGGGGGGGTGGATCCGGCCGCACAAAAAACCCCAAAGTTTCTTTCCCCAAGCCACAGCCACCGTCCTCCCCCTTCCTCCGAGGGATTTGGTTTGCTCCACAGCTGACTGCCGGTCTGCAAGTGTGAGAGTTGGTCACGGACCATTTCATTTGAATCGAGGTGGGGATTTTTTTCTTTCATAATTCGTGTTTGGGGAGGAAGAAAAAAAAACTGGCGTTCCGTCCAGCTATTTGCTTTCCAGCCGGCGTGTGGCCATGCTGTTGTTGGCTGGGGGAGTGGCGCACTTGTGCCAAGAGTCGGAATTCGCGGAGTCAAAAACGAAGACGCGGGGGAGGTTTAAAATTGTTTTGTTTTCCAGCAGCGGTCTCGTGCTTGGAGACGGACGCTTCCATTGCGACGTCTTTTTATCCTCAGCAGGCAGACTTCTGTCAATGACAAACCCCTTTTAGTGAGCACCGTTGTGGTGAGTAAACTTCACGTGTTTTTTAATTGACATCTCTCTCCGCACAGCGGACGACACTGTTTACAGAGTACGTGTCATTTTTTTAAAATATTGCTTCATGTGTTTTAAAAAAGGAAACAGAGAAAGCGTGAGAGTTAATCATGGCCCCCCTCCCGCCCCTCTCGTTTGAAGCTGCTCTTTAGAGACATCTGGAGCCCGTGGTTGTTATTGCACATTCGCCACAACAGGAGCGAATGTGTTGTCATGCCCTCTGCCCCTAGTGAACAAATGCGCCCTCTTGTGGATCGATCCCGGCCTTTGCGTGCGAGCGTGGCTCCTTCGAACAACAACGACACAAATTGAGAAGCAAACGAAATGAAAATGAGGGGGGGGGGGGGGTCCTTTGCTAGTGGAGTGGGGGGCTGTCAGGGGTTAGGGGTTAGGGCTAAGGTCAGCACGAGGTAGACGGGTAACAATTCACCTCCACTTCACGTGTGATTCAAGGAATTGTTAGGATTCTGAGTAACGTTTTTTTTTACGAATGTTTTTTAAATTCCCATTGTGGCTTGTTTGTTTTGATTGTCGTTCCGTCGACGTGATTTGCATTATTAGTTACTACACGCATAATTTTTTTAAATGTATCATGAGCTGCACGATCGCTTTTTAATCGATGGGTCAATGTTTGAATGGTTCGTGACAGTGATAAGTGTTGCTTGTCGGTTCTGGATCGGTTGTGTTTCCGGCGATACTACAACGATGTCACACATGATTAAATCAGCGATAATCTTACTGCCCGCTTTGCAAGATATATCACTATTATCTTGCCTCATCAGAAAACATTCTTCAATATTTATTTTCCTTCCAGAAGGATTATTACATGGTTCGGATCGACGGCATAGTTGGTTATGTAACGCCACCGTTATAAGCAATCGGACACATTTTTAAGTCCTGGCAATTTCCGTCGACTCGTGATGGGATTGTGTTGAGCGAAACTGCAGTCGAAGATCTTTGAAGGAGCAGTATTCTTAATTCTTGATCAAAGGACTTCAAATCAATGAAAACAACAATTAAACAAATTGCAATCGTACAAGGAACTGTTATTGCGATACTCATCCTAATTTTAATATCGTATCGCGATCATGAAAGTTTTTTTAATATAGTGGCAACCCCGGGGTTAGGCATTAGCTTCGCGTTCGGTTGGCTATCATGTGCTGGGGCTCCTCAAGCTGCTTGCCATCATCACCACCACCACCCGGCTTTCTCGCTCTTGCGCCGATTTCATGTTCATCACTGACATTTGCAGAGTCATATTCTTAGGTTTTTTCCGGTAAAGTCACGTAGGTAAAAAATAAAAATGTATAAAAGTAAAATAAAAATAAAATAAATTATGTTACTTTTATTAATTAATTTTTTTTTACCTACGTGACTTTACCGAAAAAAAACTAAGAATATGAATCCTTGCAGTCACGAAAGCTTCAAATCTAGAATTTGCAGAGCCGCCAATGCCAGGCGGGGTGGCTGGGATGGGTGGGGGGTCCATGCAGGGGTGGCTACGACATCACGCACACACGCGTACACACAAGACACGCGCACGCACACACACGCGCACACATAAGACACACGCACACACACGCGCACACATAAGACACACACGCACACACGCGTACACACAAGACACGCGCACGCACACACACGCGCACACATAAGACACACGCACACACGCGCACACACAAGACACGCGCACACACGCGCACACGCGCACACACGCGCACACACGCACACACGCGCACACACGCGCACACACACGCACACACACGCACACACGCGCACACACAAGACACGCGCACACACAAGACACGCGCACACACACGCACACACGCGCGCGTGCATCTATCCCCCAAGGCATCGTCAAGCTCGGCTCCTGGTTTTGGCCCATTAATCACAATGACCTCTAATTAAGCCCCATCGGAGGAGGGGGGGGGCTGTGGATGGGAGGGACGGGTTGTGAGCGGGCTTGGCTATGAGAAGATTAATAGTGGGGGTAGGGGGGGGGCACTTGAAATTGTGTGGGACAGAGTTTGCACGACGCTTTTGCAACCTTTCCAAGTCTGGTGATGACCAAATCTACAGTCACATTAGCATAAGGGCGCCCAACCTCAAAAGCCAAGCGGGTTAGAACCTCGTGAGGTCTCGGATGGGTGACCACCAGGGGCTTGCCAGGTGTTGTGGCCAGGAGATGGCAGTGGTGAGTGTGTGTGTGTGCCCCCCCCCCCCCCTGACTTGGTAGTCTGGTGTTTGTTTTGAATAAGGGCAAACACTCATTCATGGAATTGGCCAAACGTGCCAAAAGCTGTAGGACCTTCCTGAAAAGAGAGCCTTGAGACTCACGCTTTCCTGGTTAAATAATTTGCATTCATGAGCATGTTGGTGTGTTAGACGTACACCGATGGACGATTGATGAATGAAGGGTGTGTCCATGTTGACCGCTGGCCAGACGAGTGGCGGGTCGTCTCGCAGAGATAGCGGTCAGATGTCCAGTCCAGGGCCTGAAAGCGGTGATGAACTCCTGTGAACAATGACTAGCAAAGTCGCACCGCAGTGCGTGAATCGTGTGCAGTGAAACCCGGTGTGTTAGTTGCGGTCCGGTCTTCACTGTGGCCCTCTCTCTCTCTCTAGGAGAGAATTTCCCCCAGTAAACGTGTCCCCCTTTCAATCCCTAAACCCCCTTTCAGTGTTACTGATCGGGAACGGGCGTTTGGAACAGCGGTGTTTTGTTGTATTAAACCGTGGCAGGAATTAAACAGTACAAACATTGAACTTTGTGTGTTTTTCCCACTTTGTTTTTGGCGTTCGTGTTTTATATTTGGGGAAGCAAATTGACGTTTTATTCACCCTGGCCAATCCATCCCAGGACACGGCATGTGTTCTGTTATGAAAACTACACAGAACCTAAACCAGTTGTGACAAAACTCACCATACCAGCTGAGCAACACAAAATGCCCGAATGTGTATCGATCATCCTTTGGGTGAGAATGGCAATGATTTATTTTCAATTGTGCCACAGAGTGGTGGCGCTGCGGTTAGGGCACCGCGCTCTCATCAGCCCATCGATCCGAGTTGTTTTTTGTTTTATATTTTTAGTTTTTTTTTCGGTAAAGTCACGTAGGTAAAAAATAAAAATTAATAAAAGTAAAATAAAATAAAAATCACGACGTTTCGGAGGCAACACAAGCTTCCGTCTTCAGGTGGAACCGTCACAGCACGATTGCTGTATCAAGTGAGAGAAATACCAAGAAAACAGTATTTGTACATATATACTGGTTGAGGGTGTTTGTTTGTTAATCTCGGCCAGGGTTTTTCCGCGGAGTGACATCTGAACGGGTGTCTGCTTGCCCAGCTTGGCCAGGCATGCCTCCGTAATCCTCAACCCACCCCCCGTTACCGACACGGTGTCAGGAGGCCTTCATCCAGCAGTGGATAACCGAGGGGGCGGTAAGTGAACGGACTAAAGCCACAAGTCGTCCATGAGTTATCGTCCCAAGGGGATTAAAACTTCTCTGCGGAAATGGCGTGCGGTGAAGGGCGAGTTCCAGACGAACGTTTCTAGCCGAATTCGGGCGTTACTAAATACGGCGAAACAAACATTTAGTTGTGTGTGTTGTGGTGTGAGAGCGTTGTGTGTGTGGTGTGAGAGGGTTGTGTGTGTGTGTTGTGTGTGGTGTGAGAGGGTTGTGTGGGTTGTGTGTGGTGTGAGAGGGTTGTGTGGGTTGTGTGTGGTGTGAGAGGGTTGTGTGGGTTGTGTGTGTGTGTGGTGTGTGTGTTGTGTTGTGTGTGCTGCGGTGGTGTGTGCTGTGTGTGTATCTGTGTGTGTTGTGTGTATCTGTGTGTGTGTTGTGTGTCTGTGTTGTGTGTTGTGTTTGTGTTGTCTGTGTGTTGTGTGGTGTGTGGTGTGTGTGGTGTGGTGTGTGTGTTGTGTGTGTGTATCTGTCTGTGTGTGTGTTGTGTGTGTGTGTGTGGTGTTTGATGTGTGTTGTGTGTGTGGTGTGTGATGTGTGTTGTGTGTGTGTGGTGTGTGTGTGTTGTGTGCGTGTTGTGTGTGTGGTGTGAGAGGGTTGTGTGTGTGTTGTGTGTGGTGTGAGAGCGTTGTGTGGGTTGTGTGTGGTGTGAGAGGGTTGTGTGGGTTGGGTGTGTGGTGTGTGTGGTGTGTGTGTGTGTGTGTGTGTGGTGTGTGTTGTGTGTGTGTGGTGTGTGTGGTGTGTGTGTGTTGTGTGCGTGTTGTGTGTGTGGTGTGAGAGGGTTGTGTGTGTGTTGTGTGTGGTGTGAGAGCGTTGTGTGGGTTGTGTGTGGTGTGAGAGGGTTGCGTGGGTTGTGTGTGTGGTGTGTGTGTGGTGTGTGTGTTGTGTGTGCTGCGGTGGTGTGTGCTGTGTGTGTATCTGTGTGTGTCTGTGTGTGTTGTGTGTATCTGTGTGTGTGTTGTGTGTCTGTGTTGTGTGTGTGTGTTGTGTGTGTGTGTTGTCTGTGTGTTGTGTGTGTGTGGTGTGTGTGTGTTGTGTGTGTGTATCTGTCTGTGTGTGTTGTGTGTGTGTGGTGTGTGATGTGTGTTGTGTGTGGTGTGTTGTGTGCCTGTTGTGTGTGTGTGGTGTGTGTGTGTGTGTGTGATGTGTGTTGTGTGTGTGGTGTGTGATGTGTGTTGTGTGTGTGGTGTGTGATGTGTGTTGTGTGTGTGTGGTGTGTGTGTGTTGTGCGTGTTGTGTGTGTGTGGTGTGTGTGTGATGTGTGTTGTGTGTGTGGTGTGTGATGTGTGTTGTGTGTGTGGTGTGTGATGTGTGTTGTGTGTGGTGTGTGTGTGTTGTGTGTGTGGTGTGTGTGTGATGTGTGTTGTGTGTGTGGTGTGTGATGTGTGTTGTGTGTGTGTGGTGTGTGTGTGTTGTGTGCGTGTTGTGTGTGTGTGGTGCGTGTGGTGTGTGTGATGTGTGTTGTGTGTGTGGTGTGTGATGTGTGTTGTGTGTGTGGTGTGTGTGTGTTGTGTGCGTGTTGTGTGGTGTGTGTGGTGTGTGTGTGTGTGTGTGGTGTGTGTGTTGTGTGTGTGGTGTGTGTGTGATGTGTGTTGTGTGTGTGGTGTGTGATGTGTGTTGTGTGTGTGTGGTGTGTGTGTGTTGTGTGCGTGTTGTGTGTGTGTGGTGCGTGTGGTGTGTGTGATGTGTGTTGTGTGTGTGGTGTGTGATGTGTGTTGTGTGTGTGGTGTGTGTGTGTTTGTGTGCGTGTTGTGTGTGTGTGGTGTGTGTGGTGTGTGTGTGTGGTGTGTGATGTGTGTTGTGTGTGTGTGGTGTGTGTGTGTGTTGTGTGCGTGTTGTGTGTGTGTGGTGCGTGTGGTGTGTGTGATGTGTGTTGTGTGTGTGGTGTGTGATGTGTGTTGTGTGTGTGTGGTGTGTGTGTGTTGTGTGCGTGTTGTGTGTGTGTGGTGTGTGTGGTGTGTGTGTGTGTTGTGTGCGTGTTGTGTGTGTGTGGTGTGTGTGGTGTGTGTGATGTGTGATGTGTGTTGTGTGTGTGGTGTGTGATGTGTGTTGTGTGTGTGTAGTGTGTGTGTGTGTCTGTGTGTGTGTTGTCTGTCTGTGTGTGTTGTGTGTGGTGTGTCTGTGTCTGTGTGTGTGTTGTGTGTGTCTGTGTGTGTGTGTATCTGTGTGTGTGTGGTGTGTTGTGTGTGTGTTGTGTGTATCTGTGTGTGTGTGTCTGTGTGTGTGTTGTGTGTAGCTGGGACACATCTGGGATGAGTGGAGTGCGGTGAAGAGGTGCAGCGCCGCAGATTCACAGCGGCGACGCGTCCCTCGATTCCGTGCCGCTCAACTACATCGCGAGTTTTTATTTTATTAAAACCAACCCGTTATTTAGTTAATGATGTCTGGTATTTAACAATAAAACAATCATATTCTTGGTTCTTTCGGTAAAGTCACGTAGAAGGGAAATAATAAAATAATAACATAATATTTATATAAAACATAAAAAAATTCTCACAACGTTTCGACTGCAACACAAGCAATCGTCATCAGGTGTGAAATCCACAGCAAGAAAATTTGACTTTTGTTTTCAAATATTCTTGCTGTGGATTTCACACCTGATGATGATTGCTTGTGTTGTAGTCGAAACGTCGTGATACATTTTATTGTTTTATATTTATACTAGCTGTACTACCCGGCTTCGCCCGGGACTTGTATCTACCACGGCCGGCCGCCTTTGTCTCCCCAGTGGCGATGTTAATACGCTACAGCAGTTACTCGTTTGAGGCAGAGTCGACCTAGGGGAGGTTAAAATAATCGTCACCGGTGGTGGCCGTGAGCGGGAATCGAACTGGGTTTGCCGTGTTGGTAGCGCAGCGTAGCGTTAAGCACTACACCCACCGCTCCTCACACACCACACACGCACAGACACAGACACACACACAGACACACACACAGACACACACACAGACACACACACACAGACACAGGCAGCACGCTAAGCACTACACTACCGTTCCCCCTACACAACACACGCGCGCGCGTCCATAGGTACACATACACGCGCTTGCTGCAGACACACACGACTTTCAGGGTGCGTACGGCAGTAAACGACTGAAATAATAAAGCGGCAATGCTGTGTAAGGAACGCCTTAGACCCGCATTACACATTTGTGTAATGCGAGCGTAAACACACAAACACACACGAACACATACACAATACACACACACATACATGCAGACACACAGACAGACACATAACACACATACATACACACACATACAAACACAGAAACACATACACACACATACATAGACACACACATACACATCCACAGACGTACATACACACATACATACAGGCACGCAGACATACACATAAACACATACAAAAAAACCCACATACATACACACACACATACATACACACAAACACATGCACACACATACATACACACATGCATACAGACACACAGACATACACATAAACACATACACACATACACATGACCCGGCTTCGCCCGGGACTTGGATCCACCACGCCCGGCCGCCTTTGTCTCCCCAGTGCCGATGTTAATACGCAACACCAGTTACTCGTTTGAGGCTGAGTCGACCTAGGGGAGGTTCAAATAATCGTCACTGGTGGTGGCCGTGAGCGGGAATCGAACTCGGTTCGCCGGGTTGGTAGCGCAGCGTAGCGTTAAGCACTACACCCACCGCTCCTCACACACCACACACGCACAGACACACACACAGACACACACACAGACACACGCAGACACACACAGACAGACACAGACAGACACACACACACAGACACACAGACAGCACGCTAAGCACTACACTATCGCTCCCCACACACCACACACGCACACACACAGACACACACACAGACACACACACACAGACACAGACAGCACGCTAAGCACTACACTACCGTTCCCCCTACACAACACACGCGCGCGCGTCCATAGGAACACATACACGCGCATGCTGCAGACACACACGACTTTCAGGGTGCGCACGGCAGTAAACGACTGCAATAATAAAGCGGCAATGCTGCGCGAGGAACGCCTTAGACCTGCAACACATTTGTGTAATGCGAGCGTAAACACACAAAGACATACAAACACATACACACACACACATACACACAAACACACACACACACATACACACACATACATACACACAGACATACACATACACACAAACACACACATACATACACACAAACACATACACAATACACACAGACATACATGCAGACACACAGAGACACACATAACACACATACATACACACACATACATACACAGAAAC